GGGGTGTATGAAGGTGAGTAGGGGTGGAAGGCAATTTTGCTGAAAATTATGTGTGGGGCTAGAGAAGCCCATGAGGTGAGATTGTTCAAGTACAGAGATATTGACCAAAAAATAAGTGCAGGAAAAAACTGAGACTGACAGACAACCATAAACAGCGGTGGGGAAAAAAAAAAGAATTGGGGCCTACCAGTACTGCCTTCTGATCACCTGCTTGCTGGGGGGAAAAGACAGATGGACAGAAATAACAGAGGGGTAGTGAAATTATAGAAATAGGGACATATCAGTGGCACCCTCTAACCACCAGCAGAAGTAGGGTAAAAGTAAGGTAATAGACAGTTTTTTAGTAGGAGTTTTACAGCACGTGCAACACAAAGGCCATATAAGTGCCAAAGATTAGAAGTGTTACAAGAGAGTAACAAACACAAAAAAGAAGGACGGGAAATAAAGATGACAGATGTTGGATAGGAAAGAAGGAGCAAACCTCGCCAGAGCACCCGCCAACCACCCACAGGCAACAGACAGAAATAAATGGAAGATAGCATAAACAGCCACTAAATACATAAGGACAGAGGTCGAGCAGTAAGGTGTTGGACTTTCAATTATAAAAAAAGAAAATGGTATGCTCTACTCCTGGCTCCTTCAGATACGAAACAACTGCAAAGTGACATTGCTGTGTAACTGGCAGGGGGAAGGGACCTCTCCAATTCCAAGAACAAGGAAGTTTCCATAACATTTAGTCCCACTAAACATTGAGGATCAACACCCCCACCACATCCCATCCCTACTTGGCAGACAAGTCTTCAGGATGCCATTGTTGTCCTTATTGTTGTTCCCAATAGATGTGCTAAGCAAGGTCGAAGCAGCCGGACTCCTAAAATATCTCATTTGTGTCGATGGTGGCCTAAAGTTTCTTTTTTTCTTTAAGTAAACAGATGTATATTAGCACAATAGTATGGTCTTTTGAAGCTGGGAAAAAGCAAGACAGACAGACAGACAAACAGACAGACAGACAGACAGACAGACAGACAGACAGACAGACAGACAGACAGACAGACAGAAATGCCAGAGAAAAGAAAAGAAGTAAGCAGGCCTGCCAACTTTTGAAAATGCAAACGAGACGGGGGAAAATCAGCACAGTACGCTGCGTGCCAGGTCATATTCCCGTCACACTCAACTTATTCATACTTATTTTATATACCGGTATGTAATATATGTGGCGTCAGTGTCCTTGTTGGTAGGCTACCGGACTCATAATCGTGCGGGCTCGAGGGTTCGAGCCGTGGGCGCGACGCTGTATCCTTGGGAAAGACACTTCACTCGAATTTTCCTTTCTTCACCCAGGTGGGAATGGGTACCCGGCCATAGACAGCAAAAGATCTTGTCAGTATGTTAGTGTTTTAGCGCCTTTAAATGGCCGCTTGCACTCTATGCTTCCCAGGAAGTTGAG